CACTTGCAAGAAAAAAAAGGAAACTGGATTTATCACTCAACTCCCAGAACTAAACAGTCCCAGAACTTTATGACTTTGTAAACTACCTTGTGCACTACAGGTAGGTAAGCATCAAATGGGAACTAAGGAAAATAGGTGTTGGAAAATAAGTAAGCAAGCCTACTTAAATTTAAGTTTTTAGCTCTAACTTAACCCTATGGAAACTGCTGACTAAGCTCAGTTGAACTTTGACAAAAATAATGCCTGGAAGGAATGCAAATAGATTTATCACCTTCAAAGACTTTAAGCAAACTGCTTTAAATAGTAAGTCCCAACTAAGCATAGAACAAATTCTGCCCAAAATACTCTGCCCACCTCTAAGTCCAACTTCCACCAGAAATCATGTCAGGTCCTGAAAGGTGGGGCCTATTTTTGGTTTATAAAGATGCTTCAGTTTTCATTGTTTCCTTTCAGGGCTTCCCAAACTGAGAGCATATTCCAAGTACCTGCCTTTCTGCTCCCTACTTGCTCCCTCAAGGCGCATTCATATCCCTAATTCCCCTTCCACTGGTTCTCAGAGACACTTCACGGCCTCAAAGTCCAAGGAGAGTGGGAGTGGTACCCAGAGGAAACCCAGGCGAGAGCCTAGGGGAGCAAGGCAGAGGCCTGGACATGTATGAATACCTGTCCAAGGAGGTAGGGTCATGTATTCCTATAGCTGGAGGGACATGGAGGAACAGTCTCTCTCCTCAATGAGGGGAACTTGCCCTGGTCGAGGGATACTGGGAACGAGAGCGGGAGGGGATGCTGGGAGTGTCCAGCATCTCCTGGGGGCTTGCTGTCTCTAGCAATGTACACAGTAGAGGCGACGGAGTCTTCGGTGTCCACCACACACTCTTACACCTTGTAACCAGGGCTTCTGCAGAGAATTGGAGGAGGGCTGGAATTCCTGCCCCCATCAATGTGGATTCTCCAAATTAGAAGCCGAGAGTGAGTTCATAAGATTTGCACTGCCAAGATATCAAAGCTGGAGCCCTGGGAAACTGATACAGGTGGGTGGAAGAAGCTGAAGTTTGAAAGGGAGAGATAGTGTGTGGAGAATGAGAGGGTTTCCCGAGGAAAGGACAGGAGAAACGAGAGAGCTGAGGTCTACACACACAACACCAGGACCAGAAAGCAGTTTATCACACAGGCTCCTTCTCTGGCTGCAAATTCCTGCTCACTCCCACAAAATCTGTCCTCCATTACCTACAGCTTTCTCCAGTGGCCCCAACTACCTGCCTTTCTCCCAGCACCCAGGGTTTAACTCATCTTTCTAATCAAAAGACAAGTTCACCTGAAATAGTGTAATCCGAAGGGACATAGACAGGAGTGTTATTAATTATTAATATGCAAATATCCTATACTTAATATACTAATGCTCCAAAGAGAATATACAGAATCCATCAGGGTTTTAAAATTTGTATAAAATTCGGTCAAATTGATAGAGAACTAACTTGTGGACACAGCAGGGGAAGTGGGACAAATTGAAAGAGTAGCATTGAAATATATATCTTACCACATGTAAAATAGATAGCCAGTGGGAATTTGCTGTGGGACAGAGAGCTCTGTGACAACCTAGAGGGGTGAGCTGGGATGGGGTGGGGTGGGATGTGCTGGGAGATGGGAGGGGAGGGCAGTTCAAGTGGGAGGGGACATACGTATACCTATGGCTGATTCCTGTTGATTATGAAAGAAACCTACACAACATTGTAAAGCAATTATCCTCCAATTAAAAATAAATACATAAAGAAGAAGAAATTAGTCAAACTAAGCATCATAAAAAAATCCATAACAATGTGTGGTGATGGATGTTAACTAGACTTATTGTGGGGATCATTCTGCAACATATACAAATACTGAATCTTTACGTTGTATACCTGAAACTAATATAACGTTATAATGTCATTTATACCTCAATTTTTTTTTCAAAAAAATCAAACTAAGAACTCACACCTTTTAACCCAGAAATTTTATTTCTGAGACTAAGGAAATAACTTCTAAAATTTAGAAAAGAGCTTATGAACAAAGATACTCATCATAGTGTTATTTATTATCATCAAAATACAGTGACAATGAGGAGTGATTAGGAATTTAGGGCACATCTACCTAATGGAAAATTATGTAGACATTTTAAATGTTCATGGTCAAACTGCAATTAAGTGAAAAGTAATGTTATAAAATTTAAAATAAAGACTATAATGGAAGGGGGAAATCTTTTAAAAGGCAAACTTCCTTGGAAAAGGAAAAATCTTACTTGCATAGAAAATTTTCTGGGTTTAGTGCTTTAAATAGCAGTACCCAGGAAAAGTAACATTTTCTGGAAGAGCACTTGGAACAAGGAATATGGAGAATGTGAGTAAAACCAGTCAAAGAGAAATTTGGCTTGCTTAGAGACCTACGCTAGTTCCCTAGATTACCTGATAACCAGTAGATGTCACTGCCTGACATGCAAAGTCCTTCGTAATCTGTCACCAGGTATCCAAAAGTAGGTGACCACTTCTCAGCTGAACTTCATCTGCTTTCTCTTTACCTACTGAAGCCTTCCCATCTCAAGAGTGATTTCATTCACTTCCATCCATGAAAACTTCCATGATCCTCTTACGACCCTAGTCATCACTATTTCTCCTTCTTAAAGTGTTAACGTGGCACTTAAATCTGCCTTACCTTTTCCAGGTATTAAGCCAGTATTAATCCATTTGGTTAATTACTAATATATAGGTAACCAGCTCTCCAGCTAAACTTTGTTTCCCCATCCAGACTTTTAGAATTTAGATGGTCTGCAGACAGTAGTCATACCTACATACACTGAGCGAGAAAAAGAAGGGTAGAAAGAGAGACAGAAAACATTTCTAAGGCCAAGTTGGTATTATATTTATACTCATGATGAACATCTAAATAAAATGTGCTATGTCTGTTTTCAAATGTTCCTGCGCACCCTCCAGCACTAGAACATGCAGCTTCCTTTTTGTTTTAATAGCAGTGGGATTGAATTTTGCTTATTCATTCATACCAATTCTGCTTTCCCTTTGGGATTAAACAGATTGGACTGCAAAAGGCCTTACTGAAGTCATAAGAAAAAAAAAAAAAAAGAAATGACCTTCTAGAAATCAAAATCAAGACTCATCTCAAGACCTCACTTGTCTTAACTAGTCTTGTCTGAACAACAAATGTAAACCTGTGCCTCCATTTTATGACTTTAGTCTATCAATATCCTCATTAACTTAAAAAAGAATTCTCCAGTGCAAATGGTTCAATACTTTAGAAATGATGGCCTACAATGACTATGTTCCTATCAGACATCATATACTATTCTAGTACTTGGAGATAATGAGCATTTGCACTATAGCAACCTGCCTCCTGAGACATCAACGTGAGTTGCAGGTCTTAAGAGAAAATATATAAATCATAAATGAAAGCAAATCAAATGGCCAAGCAAGGAACAAAGAAAAAACCTAGTATCCATTATTTTCGCAGAAAGAGCATACAAGGTCAATATAATTGTTGACTCAGAAGGGCAGAGCAAAAACAAATCAATACAATGTCCCATTAAACAGAATTACACTTTGCTACAACACACATATTTTGTGTAAGAAGAGTCAGTGTTGTCCAGTTTCCACCACTAGCTGTGTCATCTTGAAACCTCTGTATTTCAATTCCTTCATCTGTAAAATGGAGCTATCACCTGCTATGCCAAATCATAGAGTAGTAATGAATCAAATCATATTATCAGCCTGGGTTTATCTGTCACCGTATCATGGGTAACACACCGTACAAAAACAGTTCAGTCACACATGCCATGTACTAAATAACTGTTCTTATTGCAAATGTTTCCCTAACATGAAAAAAAAAATCAGATTACCTTTACTTTCCTAAAATATTTCTCCAACACTTAAGCATTTACCATCTATCACTGCCAAAAATGGGTTGAGTATCTCCTGTTATGAACTAGCTCTCCTATGCAGTGCTGTCCAGATATTATTTTTTGGCATATGCTTTCTAAGAAAATAGTATTTTTTCATGCAATTCAAAAAATGTTCCTTCTTTTATACTAAAAGAACAATAATTCCATATACAGGAAGTTTACAGGTTGTTGCTATTACTTGAGATTACTACTATGAAAATTAGTTTCTATGTTTAATATGTAATAAAATCATATATATGTACACACAACTTGGACACACTTGGATACACAACTCCTTAATGCAGTGGAAGATTCGTGGGTTTGGGGACCAGGAACACTTGTATCCAAATTCCTATTCTGTGACCTTGAGCACACGATTTAACTTCCCGCTCTTCACTTTCCACATTTGGTTCTGCGTTACGATTTAATGAAATCATATACATACGAAGTGGCTAAACTCTAAAAGTATTATTTCTTAATCCCCTTAAATCTTTTCCTACTATGCCAAGACCAATTAAACCCACTCTGAATACAAGACAAGTTGGATACAGCGTCTTAGCGGAGGGATGCAACACGATGTCGAGCGGAGAGTGGCACGAATTAGGCGTCCAAAGGAAGAAGTAGAGAAACTGGCTGGTATAGAGAAGGGCCCTAGACTTCACTCGCCTGTGCGAAAAACCCACTCATCTGACACTGAAGCTTGCACAGCACGTTCACGAAGGTTTGTGCCGTGATGTGGGGAAAGGACGGAATTATAGAGCAAGCCATCAGGGAACCTCCTGGCTCACCCTACCCGACCTCGCCCGCCGGGGCCGTTCATCTGGAACCTGGAAGCTCAGGCGAGAGCCCAGCAACTGACCTCGGGCCCCCCCCCCCCCCCCCGCACCCCGATTCTGCCCAGATCTCTCAGGGCACGAATGGTGCTGAATCATTAGCACCAACAGTAGCAGCTCCCCGTGCCGCTGCTCCCGCGGCGGTCAATGATCCCGGGGCAGTGACCGTCCGGGCGGCGGCCACACCTCGCGGGCGTGGGGACAGGAAAAGGGGGTCGAGGAGGATTGGGGCAGCAGGTACTCACCCGGGGTGAGGAGAGCCCAGCCCCTGGGTCCTCGCCTCCGGGCTGCGGACGGTCCCTGCGCGGTTCCCGCGCTCCTCGGCTTCCCTCAGCGGCCGCCCCGGGCCGAGCAGCCCGCGCAGATGGTCCGATGCTCCCCTCCCCACCCGCCCACTGCCCGCGGCCCCCACAGCTCCGGGCTCCGGCGCTAGACCCGGAGCAGCTGGAGCAGCTGGCGCTGCCGAAGGGGTGGCGGCTACCGACGGGCCAGACCATTAGCGGGCGGCGACCGGGGGTGCGCGCCGTGCGCGGCGGAGCGGGAGCGAGGGCGCCGGGCCGGCGACGGTTGGGAGGACCCACGGCCGAGGGGGGCTCCTCCGCGCCCCGCCCCGCGCCCGGAGGGCTTGGGGGCGGGAGGGGGCCGATGGGGGGAGACGCCGCTTTTCCCTGCTGGGCGGTGGGGACGGTCCTTGACTTTTCCGGTCCCCCTCCGGGTTTGCCTTGGTCCGGCTCGGGGCAGCTTTAGAACCCGGCAAACAGAGGACCTAGCAACGCGGGCGCCTGGGCGGTGTCCCCTCCTAAGGAGATGCGAAAGGGCGCCGGCCCGGAACCCTGCCTCCGTGCCCGCTCCTGCTCCCTGCGGGGCCCCGGGCGCCAGTCCTGCTGCTGAGCTCACCGCTGACGCCTCACCACCAAAGCCAGCGGGCCGTCTGGAACCCTGCAAGGGGCTCCACATCTTTTATCCAAGCATCTCTGTGGCGCAAAGAATAAAAGGGCCAGCTTTCAAGGCCCGCTTGAAGTTAGAAAATAAAATCAACTGGGATCCCATCCTGTAGGGGCTTTAGTAGGTAACAAGGAAGGGAGGGACAGTTTGGGATCGCAGAGTTATCCTGTCCTCCGCAAAGACTGAACCACAGCAGTTGGAAAATGTAGATTTAGGAAACCGTTTTAACATAGAGATCTATATAGGATAATTAAAGAAATGCAAAGCTGTTTCAGGTTCAGTGTGTTCACCATTTTACAGATTAGTGTCTCCAGAACGGGGAGAGAATCGTGTCCTCATATGAAATGAACTTTATGTAACTGGAAAAGAGACGCCTCCGTACGTGTCAGCCTTTAGACTTTATTGAAAGCTCTTCTGTGGTCCCTGCCCTTGTCACATCCAGGCTTAAACAGGTTCATGTCAGACCATGGTGGAGATGGACACACGTGTATTGTTCTCCTTATAGGAAAAAAAAAAAAAAAAAAACATAAAAAAGAACAGAGTTGGTGTCTTCCTATAAAATGTGATTTAATAAAGCCCCCCCCCCAAAAAAAGACCCACCAAATGCTTCCCAAACAGTATGAAATTCCACAGTTAAAAGCCATTTTCTCTGGGTTAAGGTCTTGTTCTCTTTAGAGTGAATTAACCAGATTTTTAATCTTGTTAAAAATTAACAAGCTAGAGCACCTGCTATGTACCAAATACTGTACTAATAAGAGTATTTCCAGTTTTATACTTTCATTTCTTCCATCTAAAATTCCTTGCTCCATCTAAAATCTCTGGTGAAATTGGTAATATTGTTGCTATCTTTAAGAAAGAGAAACTGGCCTCAGAGTTTACTACTGGATTCACATCTCATAGAGTGGCAGAACAGGCGTTGCAACCTGGAGTTTTTGACTAATGCCTTTCCTCTAGAATTCCTCTGGGAAACACAGGTCAAGCCTTGTCACATCCACGATTGACACTTGAATGTGAGTTTGTTGATCCTTCCCTTCTGAAAACTAGATTTCAGGGTGCAGAAAAGAACATTTAAGTGTCTAAGGTAGATGTCACCCTGAGGTTAGGAATAAGGATCAGAACGATGTTGGATTTCATCCAGAACTAGACTAGAAACATCAGTTTCAGAAACACAAGATTAGGGTCGTGAAGGTAAGAAGGAATTATTTATTACCTTTTTGTTAGTCGTTATATTGCATGTTGGGCTTCCCTGGTGGCTTAGTCAAAGAATCCATATGCAATGCAGGGGAGACCTGGGTTCCATCCCTGGATTTGAAAGATCCTCTGGAGGAAGGCATGGCAGCCCACTCCAGTATTCTTGCCTGAAGAATCCCCATGGACAGAGAAGCCTGGCAGGCTACAGCCACGGGGTTGCAAAGAGTCAGACACAACTGAGTAACTAAGCACACGTATTGCACTTTACACTTAAGCAATTATCACTTTATTACACTTTACACTATTATTCTACCAAACCCAGGAAGGGGCAGGAGTTTTTAAATGGGCCTAATGGCATGGGTCCTTATACACCTTGCTTGCGTGCTAAGTCGCTTCAGTCGTTTCTGACTCTTTGTGGCCCTACGGACTATGGATACCAGGCTCCTCTCTCCATGGGGATTCTCCAGTCAAGAATACTGAAGTGGGTTGTCATGCCCTCCCTCCTCCAAGGGATATTCCTGACTCAGGGATAGAACCAGCATCTCTTAAGTCTCCTGCATTGGCAGATGGGTTCTTTACCACTAGCGCCACCTGGGAAGCCCCCCACCCCTCCTCCACCCCAACCTCTTATAAACCTTTCCAGAATTTTAAAAAGCTAACAGAGCATTAACAACTTTCACACCACCTTAAGGAAGATTTCTGAGAAATAAGAAATAAAATTAAACTGTTAACTTTGTGTTCTCCCATTGTTATTGTGTTAACTTTTATTATAGATGTTCATACATCAGTACCAATGCAGCAGAAATCTCCAGAGCTTCACAGGGCTGAGGATCTGAGGGCACTAGATCCCCAGCAAAGCCAGGCATCTATGACTCAGGGCCAGGGTGGCCTCAGCTGCAGAAATGTGTGATTCTTCTATCCATGCACAACTGTTCCACCTTCAAATGAATCAACAAAGGAACAGAAGTGGACAAGACGGAATAGACAAGATGCCTCTTGAACTAGAAGTCTCTGTCTGTTTGATAGGGATCTAAGAAAGAGGATAAGGTCTTTGCTGGGCCGCCTGAGACCAAACTGGGATGGAGAACCGAATTGGTCATAAACCGGATGGAATTGCCAACAACTCCAGTCATCTGTTTGCGTATACACTGCTGTTCTTGGAGCATATGTTTCTGAGTAAAGAAGAAAGGAGAAATTTAGTGCCAAAGGCCTTGAGAGACTGTCAAAAGGAATGGAGGGAGTGATGTGGTGCCTGCATGCCCTCTTCTCCCACAGAGACTTTGAAGGGTTTTAAGACCTTGGGAAAAGATCTTAGAGTGAGAAACCAAGGAATCATTTTTGCAAATGATTTGGGGATTTCAGATTTAAGAAGTATTACTTTGGGCTCTGATGACAAAGTCTAGCACAGAACTGGTGAGAGGGTCCCTCTCTTACCCAGTCTGCCAAAAGACCTCTGTGCACCTTGTCACCACTAGGGAAGGGCTACACCCAAAGAAGGCGTATTCTCATAAAGGACACTAGTGCCCAATACAGGGTCAAGATGAGTTGGCGAGGAGCAGAGAATAGTAGAACATGAGTGGAACTGTTCTGAGCATCTGCTAGATACAACTGAAGCTCTCCTGTCCTGAACGGTAGAGCTTGGGCAGACGGAGATGATTGTTAAGATGACTGATAAAACTTATTTAGGCAGTGATATTAAGGTAAATTCATTAGTATTCACAAGCCAGAATCATCTGATATTACATGATATTCACATGATGTTACACTTAAAATTATATTAACAAGAAGAGAGTTAGAGAGAAAGAAAATACTTAATGCCTTTGATAAAAGTACAGTGTGAGCCACACCATGTTGAACCTTGATTCAAGAATAGTACCTACTATGTATTAGTCCCATACTAAGGTGTATAGTAACATTAACTTCTCAATTTACTCCTGTCAAAGAAAGTATTAATCTTTACTAGTGTCATTGAGGCAGGAGATAAATAAGTTCCAGGTTAGATATTTACAACTAGCCCCTTATTTATACTTTGAGCTAGAAATAACAATAGGAACAGGAGGAATAATTGGACTTTATGTCCTGTGAACACTTTAAGACAACAGCAATGGCAGGGACAGAGACGGGTTAAGCCCTGCTTAGGGAAAAAATAAGGAAGTCACATATTTCTCATTCTTGGTGTCAGGGAGACCTCCCAAATTACACATGCACAGAAAGTTTCCTCCGGGGAAAGGGCGCCAGATCATAATAAGTTTTGCTAACTTCCCAGAGACCCTGAAGTTGAAATTCACCTAGGCTAAAGGATACGCACACACGTGGGCTCTAAGACAAATCAGATACACGGTCAAAGCACAATGATTGGTCAAAGGAAGACAAAGTCCCAGAAGTCCCTTATAAATGATCTGAACTTTCCAAAGCTACAACTGTTCCTGAACCCACCAGGTATCTATCTGCTCATACTCCTCTCTTCATGAGCACTTTACTTGCTTCACTATTTTCCATCTCTTTGAAATTCTTTCCAAAGGGGACAAAAGCCAGGGCAGTGCCACCATCCAGTTTCAACCCCTGGTCAGGGAACTGAGATCCCGTTTCAAATCTCCGAAGCCATAGCCACCCAACAGCTCCTCCAAGATTATTATTTCTGTTTATTTGCTTTTAGCTAACAGTTTTAAAATCATTAGTATTTTTAATGTGAGTACTATTATCATGCGAAGTACTCCTTTTATCCTCATTTTTTTAGATAAAGATATTTAATGGTTAATTTACCAAAGGTAAGTAACACAGCTGGAAAAAAAGGAGAGCCAGGTTTCAAACTCAAACCAATACATAAAACTCAAAACCAATTCATAAAACATTGCTGTCTACATACTTTTACTGCCTCCTGCTACACAGAAAGCAAGTTGTAACTGTATGTTTCTCTACAACGGAAAATCTATTTTGTATTTTTTAGATCTATTTTCAACTCCCATTCTTAAAAGGAAATGAATTATTTCTCACAAAGAGAATTTAAATGAGAATTCTCCCAATGGAAACACTGAGTATGGAATGTTTCAGTGGAACGTTGGGCAACTGTTTAGATTTCTATGCTCAGAAAAAAAAGAAAAAAAGCCCTGAAACAAACCAAAAAATAGTCCTATGATTACTGCAGCATAGACTTGCCCAGTGATTTTCTACACTTTTGCTGCAGATTCTGATT